TATATATATATATATATATATATATATATATATATATATATAAATATCATTCTTTTCACCGCTGCAATATCCACTTTCTCGTTCACCGCCAATATGCCCAACCCTAGTTTTCATCTCTTCCTATACCCAACACCAATTTCATCACTTCCTATAATCAAACCTGTCGACTGTCGCTCTACAGTCACCGCTCGACAAGCTCAACTCTGTCGCTCAACTCCTCTATACCCAAAAAAAAATCAGTAGTGTACATTTGTCTAAACTTAATGGGATACCTAAATAGTATGTATTTAAACCACACCAACGAAAATTCAATAAATAGAAAATCAAGGTTCCTATTGGCCAGAAAGTACATTTCTACGCTAAAAGTTTTTTTCCCAATAGTGGAAAGTTCACAACCCCTAAAACGAAATTTATTTGGCTTGTACCAAGGTGCCTTCAAAGCAAAAACCAAGTTTATCTAGCTTTAAACAATAGAAAGCGCAACAAAGACTATTTAGATATCTAGATTATCAGTACTATTGCTGATTACCGCTATACACATCTCGGTTGTAGCCCCGTGGCCACTGGTTGTCATCGCATGCGTTTGATGCTGCTTTCTAGGGTTAGGTTGGTCACTGCGATTAACTCAATTGTAGCACTTTATCGATGACCATCAACACATTCATCTTATTGTAGCGCTTTGTTGTTAGCATTGATGAGTGTCAATATAATGCAACACTTGCCGATTAGCTTGCCGATGTTCATCACTATATCTATCCCAATTGTAGCCTTCGATTTTTGGCACTAATGATCATCACCAAATCTGCCTAAGTTGTAGCTCCGACAAAGTTGTCGGTATAGCATACGAGCCATCAATCCCCGGATGATCACCGATAGATATGAGAGCACCAGGTCGGACGTTCGTGGCTGTACGTAACGCAGCAATATTTGGCAGAGAACAGTACAGTCTCTGTAATGGTGTAGCAATATACCTCAGTATTGCAACTATCTTGGTAAAGACTGAAAGGTTGCGAATCTCCCTCGTCATTCAATTTCCGCTCAAATCAGAAATATTAGAAGCCACTCAGTCCCATATCTCTTTGGGTGTATGGGTACTCTTATGATACTTCAGCGCCTGAACGCTCTTAAACCGCCGGTCGCATCCAGGATAAAGGCAAACAAATGGCATCTCTCCTGAATGTTGCCGCAAATGTGCTGTCAAGTTCTGACTCTGCGCGAAGCCCTTCCCACATCCTTCCCAAGTACACACAAACGGTTTCTCACCCGTATGCGTACGTTTGTGCTTAATTAGACCCCCGGCGTCCGTAAACGTAGCTCCACAACCCGGATGATCGCACCTAAACTCCCTGTAGACCACATGCTTGTTCAAATGCTTGGCAAGCGTTGCCTGTTTCGCAAACGCTAACCTACACCCAGGCCAGTGGCATTTGTAAGGTCGTTCTGTACTGCTCTTGTTTATATGTGTAGCAGCGTGTGCCTTTAATTGGTGCTTCTTATCAAAGGCTGCATCACATCCCGGCCAGTCGCACGCGTACAGATCCAGCCACCTCATCTTAAAGGTTGGCGCGTCTGATGCAGTCGTATCCTTCACATCAGTCGCCCTCTTGTCTTCTAATACTGATGTATCTTCGCTCGAAGCTTTCTCAGCCATTCCTAAACCCCCACGGTCGCTTAATTTCTCGGTAGTACTACAGACTGCATTATTTGTTACTCTGGCTCTCGCATTGTGACCGATAGCTGTACAATCAGCCGCCCTTTTGCCTTCCGCACTCATGTATTCTTCAGTAGTTGTACTGTGATCAGTACCCCCACCCAAGGAATCACACTCGCCCAAACGCGGACGCGTATTGATCTTAAACGTATCCCCACTCGACACCAGCCGCTTCCCTATTTTTTTGCCACTTCCCTGACCCTCTTTATCCCGCACTACATGCTTGAGCTTGTGCACCGACAGCTTCGCCTCCGAGTCGCACCTATACCCACAGCCCCAGTAATTGCACATATAGTCCCCACTCATCTTATGCGTTGTTTCGTGACTGGCCCGTCTTGCGGCCGTAGCGAACTCTCGCCCACACCCCTCCCATGAGCATACAAACTTGTTCGCCTCACGGTGTAGCGCCATGTGTGCCTTGAGCGTAGCCTTTGTCTTGAACAGCTTCTGGCACCCATCATGCTCGCACACAAGGGATGCGCGTGTGGTGTGTGTGGCTGTATGCCGGTTCAAATTGCCCCGGTTAGCGAAGCGCTTCTCACACCCCGGCCAGGTGCACGCATACGGTTTCTCATGCGTGTGACTCCTTCTGTGTTCAGCTAAGCGGCTGCGATATCGGAAGAGGAGTTCACACCCCGGCCAATCACACAGCCAGGCTTTCTCTGTGTCCGAGGATGCGGCATCTGCACACTGAGTAGTACACGTGCGACTGTGTATTATAGGAGTGCAAGGTCGCGTCCATCCTCTGACGATACAAAAATTTAAAGTAGAATATCGTAAGCAAGAAGAAGTGAAACTAACATGGTACAACCGAGTTTGAATAAGTGATACGACCCAACTATGCTATAGGACAGCGACATGTGTGCGCGTTCGATACCTAAGTGAGTATTTATTGTAGTTAATTTGCGATCAATGCGAGTGTGTATTGTAGCACGGCGTGCATCGGCACCAGGCCGCGTGTAGTACGACAGACTTCGATGCTTTTCGTAGATACGAGAATCTGAAGAACGAGACAGAAAGGACAGTTCGGCTCATAGAGACTGAGAATATACAATCACAATACAATACGATAGATACAAGTGGTGTCAGCATAACAGTCCAAAATCACGCCCGTACGCCTTCACACACATAGATCGACCCAGCTCTAACTATGTCGCGTAGGCCGACGGTCACGATCATATTCATCCCGTACTTTAAGGATAGCAAATCCAATTAAATGAACATCATTATCATCCACATAATAACACAATTGAATCGACGTGATAGCTGCAAGCACTACATAAAAGACAAGCATTGGGATTGTGCATATACCCAAATAGCAAGCCAAAATAATTTGTTCGATATTTATGAAAGTGCACACAAAGCACGATAGTGAGAATGTAAAATCTCAAAGGTTCTCCAGGAGCACGCATGGACATACAAACGTTGAGTAAAGATAGCAGAAACCTGTCCAATACGAAACAGTGAGTCCTTTTCGCTACATCAAATGTGCAAGAGTATTGTACTATCTTCGCACATATTCGCAATATATGTGCAAACAATAATGACAGATATATGAGCAATTCAATCATGATATACATAAAACAGCGAAAATATCTGCAACAAGCCCATCAAAGACTCTTTGCAGATCCACAATTATCAGCAATAAAACACGAATTTCACTTCTAGTAGAGAATAGAGAGATTCATTTATGTACGAACAGAACAATACGCAATTATATAGAGAGCGAGCAACCAGATTGCAATTCGAACCAATAGCGTGCGAAGAACAATTCAATG